AATTACAGTTTTGTGACCCACTTTGAAGGTATGTGATTGGCCCAGGGAAGGGAGGGAGCAGGCATATTAACTCAGCCTTGGAGTTGAGACCACCTGTTATCAGAGGAGATAAATACACTCAAAGAGGCCTTTGTCATTTCAATCTGATTATTAGAGTGCTATTTAAAAATACATATAAATCTTAGTTTTATCTAGAAAACATTTTCAGAAGCCATTTATAAAATTAAGCCTCCCAGGATCAACAATTTTCATTCAAAGACAAAAAACCCCAGAATCTTTAAAAAAAAATTTAACAATTATTCTACATACGCAAAAGCAAATAATTTCACCTTTTATATTTGATATAATGGAGCAGCTGAAGTGGAAACTATGGATTCTACTAGGGTTCCAGAAAGCTACTTCTCACATACTAAAGAGCCAATACCAAGGGTAGTTTTTTTCCCTGAATTTGGATAGAATTTCTTTTGTTACAAATATGTTCAATGACTCGGCAAAATGGAACAGGTCTACTATAGTTTAAATTGGTAATGCTATTCTAGAAGTGCTTTATTGTTTAACCATGGCACTACCCAGTCCAAAAGTCAAATTACCCAATTTATATAAATACATAAAACTTCAAAAAGGAATTTCAGAACACAACCTTTGACTTGGACAGCATTATGTTCTGTGAACTGATCTGAGCCCAAACGGTTTATCACTTAGCTCCCTCTACATCCACACTCTGATTGGTGGTCCATAGTGGCTTTTTGGGTCCCCAGGATAAGAGTCAGTTCAGAGCCAGAGTCCAGGATCTCTGAGAACTCTGGGTATTTACCTTTCCCCAGTGCATACATAGCTGGCCTGGTAAATGATTGTAGGTCCCTTTGAATATGGCTAAAAGTTCACAGTATGCATTTTTGGCAGCATAGTAGGGATTTTCCTGAAAAGGTCTCTAGGACTGAGAAGTGGATGGCTACATTTGGTGATTCAATGTTGTGCCACCATTCACCAGTCCTGGAGCACTCCACTGTTTGCACCTTTGCACCAAGTGTGAGAAGGAGGAATAAAGAGCATGCTTAAAACAAGTTAAGCATGAAAATAGGTGTTTCTGAAAAAACAATACTATATAAGTTTGAAGGTATATAATGTATTATAAAAGCTTAACAAACCCCAAACTCCATGGGCTATGTTCACAGAAGGACAAATGCCTCCAAATTTCCAAGCTCTAAAATGCTGACTTCATCTCTACCCCAGAGTAGACTTTTCCATTCCTAATATAAATATCAACTTGTTTTTCTGTGTCACAGCTCTTGTTTATGAGTAATTTGTTTAATACTAGCTGCTATGTTAGGGAGTTTATTATGAGGTAGGCCTGGTTCATCTTTCCACCTGCTGGTCTAAATCAGTGGGTAGAGCACTAAGACCTGGACTTGAATTGCAGACCAGCACTTATTCTGGTACCTCGGACAACTTACATAAGTCCAGGTTACCACCCAAGAGGTGATTTCAGTCCTACCTGCCTCCCCAAGTGATGGTAATAGCAAATGAGAGAATTTAAAATATATGGTGAACTATAAAGTATAATAGTCATGTGAGTATTGTATATAAATATAAGAAGAGTTTCCTCTAGATTTCCTTGAGAGTCATGGGAATGACATTTCTTGGGTTTTATGTGACTTTCTAAAATGACAGAAAACAAGGTTACAGTCTAAATAGTCTGTAATATCTTTTGGAATAGGACTCTGTTTTGCATTTACTTAATTTCAAATATTAATGTAATATTGTATTTATTGCTTGGCAAGTCACTGAGATAGTGCCTCTTTAAATGTAAGTGTAATTCTCATAATTAAAGTGTGATTTAGTATTCTCCCATTATCCTCAAATTCTCAAATTTACTCTGTTGTCCAAATACAGAAGATAGAAGCCTAAATTCTAGTAATTGAGGCCTCTCATTTCTGGTTGGACATATAAAGAGCTGGAAATCATGACTTCCATCATCACAACAGCAAAGCAGCTGAAAAACTCAGAATCAACAACTCTTCTTAGATCCACCAGAAAATTGAGGTCACAAGGCAAACCAACACCCCAAAAGCTAGAGAGACATGCTGATACAGACAATCACAGCTTACTAGAAGCAGCAACTGCCTGCTGGATCAGCATCAGGTAAGAATACTTAAAGAATAATTGATTGATTGCTAGAGGCGGACTATGTACCAGTTTAAAAGGTTAGAAACTGGAGGCCTAGCCATAAGGGAATCTCCTTTCCCTGCTTGCATAAGTTTAAAACTTAATGAGTTTTATTTGGAGGAGCCCCACCAGGTTCTCACTCTGAAGATGTAAGAAAAATCGCCTTATTCTTCATGATGAAGGGGAGGGGAAAACTAACCATTTTGAATCATGCCCAGAGAGTTCTATTCCCTTTAACAAAGGCCTACTTTCAAGGGAAACTTTTACCAGAAATAACCAATATAGGGAAAGGGAAATACTCAACTCCATCTCCCACTAGCCTTCTTGTCTAATCACAGAGGTTAGAAAAACAGTAATAAGCTAATAGGCATTTTTAAAGGTAGCTCAAAGGCACAGGCTCACTAAGAAACTAAAACCTGATCAGAGGACCATAAACTTCCCTCCTCCACCCCTCCCATCTTACTACCACACCAACAGGACTCCTTATAAAAACAAAGTATTACAGCTAAAAAAACCACAAGGCTCAGCTGGATTTGAGGAATCTAAAATCCACTGATAACAGAGGAGACAAAAACAACGCTAGAGAAAATTGTAGCCTCTGACACCACAGGTACGACAAACAGTAAACACAGGCTAACATCTCACCAGATAAACATTAAACCTCACACTAGAAACCTACTTACCTCAGTTCCTTTCATCCAGTACATTGTGTCTAGCTTTCAACAAGAAATTACAAGGCATGCTAAGAGGCAAACACAGTTTGATAATACAAGGCAAGCATCAGAATCAGACAAGTTTGGCAGGGATATTGGGATGATGTTATCAGACCAAGAATTTTAAATATCTACAATAAATAGGGACTCTTATGGGAAAAGTGGATAATGTACAAGAACTGATGGGTAATATAAATAAAGAAGAAACTAAGAATTGAAATTGTAGAAGTCAAAAACACAGACATGAATAATGCCTTTGATGGGCTCATAAGTAGACTGGACATAGCCAAGGAAGGAATCTTTGAGGCTGAATATATCAACAGAAACTAACCAAACTGAAAAGCAAAGAGAAAAAAGACTGAAAAAGAAAGAAACAGAGTATCTTGAGAACTGTGGGACAATTGCAGAAAGTGTATATATGTCTAAGAGGAATATCAGATGGAGAAGTGAAAGAAACAGAAGAAATATTTGAATAAAAATGGCTGAGAATTTTCCAAAATTATTGAAACACTAAATGACAGGTCTAGGAAGCTTTTCAAGCAGAATAAATACTAAAAAATTTATACCTAGGCATATCACACTTAAACTTCAAAGTTTATGAGACTTCAAAGTTGATGAGAACTCAATAGCAACCAAATGGAGAGGAACTGACTCCTTTAATTTGTCTAACTCCAATAAAGTGAATAAAAATTGATTTGCCCCTTATTTTAGTGAATATTTCAGCAAAGACAAAGACAAAATCTTGAAAGGACACAGAGAACAAAAAATAAAAAATACCTTACCATTAGAGGAACAAGGATAAGAATTACATAGGATGCCTCATCAGAAACCATGCAAGCAAAAGAGAATGGAGTGGAGTAAGTGTAGCTCATTTCTATAGCTACTAACCAAAAACAACAGAAGAAAACAACATCACAATGAGAAAAGTGACACAACTGTGTGATTTAATTTTCATTTAAGATCCATTTAGGTGGGGACAGAGGCAAGGGGACTGGTTTCTTCAAACTACCCCTCTGCCTCTTCCAACTATCCCAACTCCCCTGGTGCCTCTGGGGAACATTTGCTGAAATATTCACTGAAATAATGGACAGACAAATCAATTTTTATTTATTTTATTGGAGTTAGACAAATTAAAGGAGTTAGTTCCTTTCCATTTGGTTGCTATCTGTTGAGTTCTCATCTTTGCCATTAGTACTAAGAACACAGTTTTATAAAGTTTTCTAAAGCAGGGATCAGCAAACTATGGCCCCGCCACTTGCTTTTGTAAATAAAGTTTTATTAGAACAGTTAATTTATATATTGTGTATTGCTTATGAAGACTATTATTTGTTATGAATTGTATCATATATGTACCTGCTTTTATGCTACTTTTTTTGCTATACTTTCCTGCAAAGTTAGATAGTTGCCACAGAAATCATTTGGCAAGGAAAACCTAGAATATTTACTGTCTGGCCCTTTACAGAGAAAGTTTCCCCATCTCTGTGCTAGAGGAGGAAAGGGGATGCTCGCTGATGGAAACTGGCTCCCTCCCAGCTTTTGTTTCCATACTACTGTGTGCAATGTGGCAAACAGATATAGGGAGACCTTCGTGTAATGGTGGTCTTAATGATGAGACCTTTTAAATACTGACCTCAGTAACTATCTGAGAATAACTGATCTTTTCTTTCTAAAAGTTAGGCAGATCCTTGGTGTGATACCTATAATACTTGGATTTCCTCTCAGTAGGAAAGTGACCAACCTTCAAAATTCCTGCTTCTGCATAGTTTGTGGTTCAGGCAGAAACAATTTATCTTCTCCCATTCTAGCCAGTAGCTGCCTGGAATGCACGTAAGGTGATAAAACACCTTACATTATCTCAGAGGACTGTGTGATGACTTTTCAGAACAACACAAAGATTTATCATAAATTTACAATATCAGACATTGTACTTGATGTCAAGGAAGTGAATGAATTGTTAGAAATTAAGGAGCCAGGCTCTTGTACTGATCTAGCCACAGAGATGATCACTTGGTGTGAATAGTGATTCAGAGATAAAGTTCTATAGACTCTGAATTCTAGTTGATTTAGTCCATATAAGATGAGCAAAACACAGTCATAGGCAGAGGCTAGTTAAATGTTTACCTTAAAGAGAAACTAATTTCCTCATCACAGCAGTGAAGTTGGGCCACATCTTGGACCCTAATCAGGTATCTGTTTACTTCTGATAGAGTCTAAATCAAAAACAAAATTAGAAACATACATAAAGTTTTAGAAAATAAAACATGTCACTACAGCAGAACCATTTTATATCCTAGAAGATGTAAGTTTCAGCAGATTTCAGTTTGATTATAAAAAAGTGAGTTTTAATTGTTTATAAACCATACTTTCTTTAGAAAGACCACAGAATTGACAATGAAAACTACATTTGAGGGTGTTGTCTAATTTTTTTTAACTACTGAAATTGTTTTATTTATAAATGCTTTCCTAGGATAAAAAATGGGGTGAGAATGGGTAAGAAGGGCTCTGTCAAGGAAGTGAATGAATTGTTAGAAATTAAGGAGCCAGGCTCTTGTACTGATCTAGCCACAGAGATGATCACTTGGTGTGAATAGTGATTCAGAGATAAAGTTCTGTAGACTGAATTCTAAGATTTTGGACTTTTTGTAATTAAATCAACATCACATCCCTTTTCTCTACCAAAATGTGCATATCTAAATTATAACCAAACAATTTCATCTTGCTTCCCTAATTTGACCAAATAAAAATAACATTTCCAATCAATTGATGCTTTAGTTCATATATTGAGCTCCTGCTTTATGCCAAACACTAGAAAAATACTGTAAATCCTAGTTCGTATGTGATGGAGTTGACAGTCTTGTGAATAAAGGACTGCAATTAACTGTGACAGAGATGTTCAGGTGCTACAGAATACCCAGGAAGGGGCAACTCACAGCTGGGAAAGGGAAAACTTTACAAGGAAGATGATTGATCTGGACTTTTAAAATATGAGTAGGAGTTTACCCAGTGGAGTAGGAAAGGAAGCCAGTTTGAGAGAAGGAACAGCCTGGGCAAAGCACAAAGGTGTGAAAAGAGGCTGATGTTACTGGACAACTGTGAGTAGAGCTGCATGATTTGATCATAAGGTGGGCAAGGCAGTAAGAGAGAAGGTAGGGTTGGACCGGATGATACTCTGCAGGTGACAGCTACCAGAGGACTTCTAAGATTTTGTTGAGAGATTCTGCACATGGTACTATGTGCAGGGAGATAGAAACAATGGAAAATATGGCCCCTCTCCTCAAAGGGGGTGGGAATCACAGTAGTATCAAGCAAGGAGTCAAGAGTACAGAAAAGCTGTGGGGTGGGATCTAGCCCACTAGTGCCTCTTCTCATACAGCACCCCTGCAGACAGCAAGGATGTGAAATGTGAGTGCTTGGCAGCACATGATACAGCAGGTCCCCCATATTTAGCTGAGTGGAAATCTGTCTCCTTTGCCAATGACTTGAGGTTACATTCATGAGCATGAGATATAGTGGGTACATCAGAACACGTACAGGGCACCCCCAGATGGTTCTCCGTATGTCTGACAGCTGATCTTTCATGCCGGTGTTTTGCTTCATCTAGAAAACAAAGTGATTTAAGGCAAACTAAAACTGGAAAATTTTTACACATAAAAAGCAGAGTAAAAATATTTTATGGCCTTTGATATGGGGCTTAGTATTTTGATCAGCTATAATAAGAATCTCAGTTTCATGTACCCAGGTTTTAAAGAAGCAAGTGACAAGACTATATTGAAAAAATATCTTCAGGTCATAATGCATTCGCAGTTTGCATTCAGCCTGGATGCCCATGCAGTGTGCACATTGCAGTCATCTTTTCAAAATGGTACTACTGTACTCCAGGCCGCTGAATGCTCTCAGAGAATAATGGTGGTTGCTTACTTACTCAGGCACGAAACAATACATTTAAACATTCTTTCAGAAACAAAGGATTTTACTTTTTTCCTTGTGGTTACCTAGAAAAATCAATCCAAATACCCCATTCATCAAACTTTAATGTTAATAAAGGTTTTTTTGTACTTAATACAGATATCTGAAAACATTCTGTCTCGTATTGTTTGGCTTAGAATAGATGCCCTCAGTGCTCAAAATCACTGAACACAATGATTTCACAGTAAAAGGATGGAAGAACACCACCAGAGGATGAGGTATTTCAGGATCTTTAAGTTAGAATACCACAAAAGCATTGTAACATTTTTAAAGGACACAGACTCTTATCAGCAACCAACCTGATCTATATAACCTTTATATTTTTTTATTTGGCCAATTGCAGTGGTCAAGTCCCCACGGTCAAAATGGTCTGCAGGGGTGTGAAGCCTCAGAGCATAGAGAAGATTAATATATTCTTCAAATCTTCGGGATGGGTACAGAAGCAGCTCTGGAAGACTGTAGGAGGCATAGAGAAGGGAACTGTGGTCTCTTTCTGAAGGTCGAGCAATGTCCTGACCTTGGGGTGCCCCAGGTAGGCTCTCCCTCACATCTTACCTCAGCATTTTGGTAACAACGGTCTTATCATGCCTCTTCAAGAAAGCACGGAATGCAGGTATCATTTCTCTGCACTGAAGGTGAGCAATATAGTGTCAAACTTTGCTCTGTAAGACAGCTCTAAAGCCTGTTCTTTCAGGCATGAGTGATCTATGAAGCACTCAAAGCAAAAGGGCAGCATCTACACCTAATCCAAGTATTGTTAGTAGTACTGGCGCTAGTGTATTAATTACACCATAAACCTACCCTATTCATTGCACTTAATCAGTATAGACAAATGAAAACAGACTTTGCAACCAGGTAGGCCTGGATTAGAATTCTAATTCCAACTCTAATTTAGTCCTATAGAATTTTATGTGACCTTGTCAAGTTATTTAACTTCTCTGAGCTTTGGTTTTCTCATGAATGCCACTCCTAACTCTTGTGTGTGTGGTAGTGGGGGAGGAGGCCCTAAAGTGCCTGTCATGTAGTAAATGTAATTTCCATATACTAAGAGACTATTAATGGTATTCACCTGTTAATACTGCTGTTAATCATGTTTTCCATAGTAACATTATAACGTTGATTCACTTAGTATCTGTTTTAAAATATATTCATTCATCACCATTATTAGAGCATCCATAAGTTAACCTAATTTTTCTTATTATGTACAAACCTAAAAGATGCCAGTAGTACTAATTTCTAGAAATCACATTTTCACTGATTGCAATAATATTAATACCTAACATTTATTAACTACTTATATACCCACCATATGCTAGTGAAATAGTTATTATCCATAACTATAAAAATTTTGGTACCAATTTGTTTATGACAATATGTGACACTATGCTCTTATTCTTGAAGATTCTTATCCTAAAGGTCAGTTGCATGAAATCACCTTATCCAGGCAACTGTCACATCATCGAGTGATCCTGCAGTGTTTAAATTCCCCACGTTGCAGGAGGAGTACCACAAAGGGGGAAGTCTGAGGCCAGGAATCACCCAAAGGCCTCCCAGCCCCAGGCCTTCCCTCAGGGCCTCAGTGCATACAGATGGGCACAGCCAAAGCGGACATGGGTGACACTGGCAGAAGTGTGCCACCAGGTTGCAAGGTAGCCTATTTTCCTCTTTTACATTTTTGATATAAATCAAGGAAGGAAGAAAGACAGACCTTATTGCCTTCAGAAGAGATCTAATAAGAGTAACAAATGATGCAGAATGGAGCTGACTATTCCTGCTCAGACTACATATATGGCGTAAGTCACAAGGGGAAAATTTGTTTATAGTGAACTCTTAAAGGAATGTAAGACAAATTCTTTATTTCATAAGGAGATTTCAATGAAGTATCTTTAGTCTAAGAAGCATGAATTATCATTCTTTTTCTTCATAAGAGAGCTGAACTTGTCAAGGCCATGTAGACTGTCATGACAGAGTGGAATTAGCGCTCATAGTCTTGCTTCTACCAATTTGTAAAACATTTTCTTGTAACAGCACAGGGTGTCTGGGACAGATGGAAGTCTGACAATTTGTAGGTTCAGGCCAGTCACCTGTTCCTGGGCCCTGCTGTGTCAAGCACTGTGCTGGCCCCTAGTGACAGAAAAGTAAGTCAGGGTCCCCATCCTCAAAGAGCAAACAGGAGGAGGAGATCTAAAAGCTAAGAGTGGGGAAGAAGTCTTTTCTATCAATTTAGTATTTTGGATTACACACAAAACTTCCTTCAAGCTCAGAAGGTTTAATAAATGCCTGGATGGTAACTCAATCATTTACCTTGTCAATAGTTTTCAGAATAACAGGGTAATTGCTGAAGAAATTGGTATATGTGTTCAACTGGCTTCCAAACTTTATGAATATTTCTCCCATGCAGTGAGCTGGGCCCCATTCCTGTAGTCTGTTTCTCAGGTTATCTAGAAACTGCCTGCAATAAGAGAAAAGCATGATCAAGAAATTTTGGCAGTGATAACCTATAAACTTAAAAAATAAATTAGCTGTCATTAGTGCAGCCTGTTTTAGCCAAGTCATATATGGCAGGGCTTCTGTCAAATACTTTTGCTTGACGCAGAGCAGTGCAGATTTGACAGGAGGAGGTGGGAAGGGAGGAAGCAGGCCACCCTGGGTGGAATCCCACCTCATCTTAGTTCCTTGAGTCAGAACCCCAGACCGGCCTCCATTGGGCTGTCAATACCGGCTTGTCCTGTTCCCACATCACCAGCTGTGCTGGTGGGGGAAGTTTCCTTCCAGTTCTCAGAGGAGAGTGCTCAGTTCATGTCAATGCCATAACCCTCATGCAGCCCATTTCCCATGCATCTAAGAGTATCCCTCACTCAGCCATCACAGACCTTGAAAACTGGAAGGTCTTTCAACCTCTTCATTTATAGGAGCTGGGGCCCATTGAGGATATGAAACTTGTTCCAACTCCTAGAGAGTTACTGGCAGAGAAGCACAAGCTCAGTTTGTCTTACTTTACCATAGGTGCAAGCGATCACTTTTCTCTTTCAACTGTTATGTACTCAAAACATAAACTGTTACCAAGCTGACCCCCTGTAGTGAGTTTTCTAAGTATCCTAGTGATTTAATTCCATTAAATTCTTAGCTTCCTTTCCCACTGCTCAACTAAACAGCTGATTAGAGCTGCTCCATACAGCTCTCCTTCCTATTGTCTTTTGCATGGACAGTATATTGAATACAGAATCCCCAGGCACTGAACTCCGCCTCTTGTACCACGGCTCTGAAGTGAGGCAGGCCTAAGTCCCTGGGAATCATCCCTACTGATTGCAGACCAGTGGCAAGAATCCTCTCCCTTTTGTCAGATGGTCAGAGACCCCAAGAAGGGCAGAGAACGACTGAGTCTGTACAGCTTTTGAAGCAGTTAAGTGTGGGCTCCTCTCACTGCACAATGAATATTTCAGAAATACACATTCAGAGTTTACCTGTTGAGACCTAAAATCCTCAGAATATCAGAGAAAATGATCTGGATATTTGCAGCACTCAGAATTGCTCTATTTGATGACAATGCTGCTTTCAGTGGCGTTACATAAACATCTCTCACAGTCTCCAGTATCTGCACATATTTTCTCTCGCTCTGTAAGAGCTCCCTGACAACTCTAGTTCTCTTTTCGGCTGAGTTCATCTGGAGCTTTCTCTCCTGCAGAAAAGCATTAAGAATTCATAGGGAAAATGACTCTTTCCAGGCTTCTAGCCTCAAAAAGCCTCAAGACAAAGGAGATAGAGAAATGAAAGTACTGAGCAGCCAGGCAGCCCTGGGGGATTCCCGTCTCTCGTTTGTGATGTACAGGATTGATGGGAAGCTTGAGAAGGGACTATGGAGGGCCGTGCTGACCCTCGCCTATCCCCAGTACCATCAAACAGCCCCTCACATCAGGCCAGCCTAATGTCATGGTAGAGATGGGATTTTTAATCTTGGATCCTGAGGAGGGTGGATTGACTGAGATTTGATTTGTATCCATCTATCTGTCCAAATGCGTGTTCAGTGTCATGTGCTAGTTGCCAGCTGTACAACGAGAAGACATGGAGTCTTGCCTTCACGAAGTGACAGTCTAGTGAGGAAGCCTTTGGGTTGTCTGCTCTTGTTCGTTTTCCTATTTCTTGTTCCCAGTAGAGTCTTACTGTTTATCCTGCAGACAGAAGAACTGAAACGGGTGAGCTTTCTCACTGTCAGCTAATTTCCTTCTCACTAGCATATTATGAAACACTGAAACTCATGTTCTTCTTTCAGTATTTAGGAAAAAGTACCTAACTTGGGAACTGTGATCCCATCTTTCTTTAGTTGCTAGGTTGAAAAAGTTCTAAAATTAGTATCTTTACAATAGAAAACAATGATAATTTTTAAATTAAAAAATTTTATAAATTTAATGATCTTATATGTGAGCCCATTAATAGCTCTATCAGTATTTTCAGAATACAATTTCCTCTCTTCACACCAGCCCTAAGTATGCCTCAGACTGCCCCAAATATTGCAGTAAGTAATGCCATGTGACCCTCACCCAAATACGTCAACTAAAATTAAAATGTAAAAATAATTTAAGAAAAAAATCAGAGAACAAACTCTGTGTAAATTACTATAAACACATTGTTCTTGGTTAAGTTTTACTTTCAAAGCACAAGCTTTGTATATAATGTCTATTTAGACTTATCTAATGAATTAAAAAATGCATCTGTATCCCACTTGGCAGTTGGCTTGAATCCATATTGTATTTTTATGTGTATTTACACTTTAAAAAATATTGGAATTATCCAATTTTTATTTATAATTATAAGGTTTCAATTGTCAGAACTTTTGTTGCCATCTTGAAACCATTGTCAGGTCTTATTACCAACAGTCAGATGAGATGCTGTCACATTTACTGCACTGTGTAAACACCCTCTTCCTTGGCAATTCTCGAGGACAGACTGGAGATTCACTAGGGATGACTGAGCGCCCGTGCCTGTGCTGCCCACAGCCTGCACGGGCCCAGGGCACTGTGGAGCTGGGAACGAGCTGCCAAGCTGTGCTCGGGACAACACTAGTCATTTTTTTTTCTGTATGACCCTTTCTAAGTGGAAAGACAGAGTCCTAAAAGTTACATCATTATACTCAACATTTGAAGACATACCATAGTCGGTGGGTCAGTTAGAAACTGTGAGCCTTTATGTCCATGTGTCATTTCTTTAAATGCCATCCTAGTGTTACATTAGAAAATCATGGACTGGCATAGAGATGGCTCTTGCACCCAAAATGTTATACCTCCTTCCTCCTGGCTCAACCTTTTTTCAGACCAAGACTTATTCAAAAGAAAAATCTACCAGTTGGATTCCCCCCAGTTACATTTGTTCCCCCCACCCCCCACCAAGGGAAACATTCAAGAAAAACAGAACTGACCGGTATAAAGGATGAAGCTTTCTTTTTTTTTGGTCAGGGGCAAAACAAATGGAAAATTCTTATTATGTAATAATTGGCTTACCACCTTAACCAGCACCTCAAAATTTGAGTCATTTTTGCTGAGACTTGATTTTGTGTCCTGAGGATTATCTTCTGTAACATTTCCTTCCTGAGGATTAAATGCAGAGACCTGATTATTTGGAGGCCTGCCTTGGACTTCTGAATGCCCAGTCAGTGCTGTGCCCACCGGAGGCCCTCCAGCGCTCTCTGCCGTCAGCACTAACCAGTGCTCCTGAGACGCAGTGAACGCAGCGCTTGACAAGCTTGATGCCAAACAGAATTAAGTTTCATGTTTAAAAGAAAAATAACCATTTACTTCTTAGGAACTACCTTTTACTTGCGGAACCAAATTGAGTCAGCTCCCTTTTTCCCTGCCATTCAGCAGCTTCTCACAGGCTTGAGGGATCCCGCACTCCCTGGGGAAGGGGCCTCTACCTCAGCTTTGCTCTCACTCGTCCTTTAGGGCAAACAGATTCTCTTCCCTTAAAGATTCTAGAATTAAAAGCTCACAGCACTTTATAAAATCACTCCTTTTTTTCACCCAATGAAAACACATCAGAAATAATTCACATGACTCTTCTAGACCTGTCTACTTCCACATTTAAATAGGACTTATTGTTTCTTCATTTTACCTCCTAATTGTTCTTGTGGCTTCCATATAAATTAACGCATTAAACAAATAGTAACAGCAGGCCCGTCCAGTGCTGCCTGCAGCATTCCAGGGTCTACTTGGGCAATGAAAAATGGTCCCAGGTTTGTGCAGAGAGTTAAGGATGAGGGTCATTATTGATGTTCCTTACTAGTAAAAAGTAAAACTGCCCTTGGCAACCCCTTGATATCTAGGGGTGAGAGTGAGAGAGAAACATCAATTTGTAAGACTTTTTGCCTTACTCCACTCACACAGAAATGAATTTTTATTTTGTGTCTGTGGCCACTCCTTAGAGCTGCCTGAAGCCTTTGTAGCCACTCCTTAGAGCTGCCTGAAGCCTTTGCGTAAGAGCCCCAGTCCCTGAACTGCAGTCAGCCAGCTTCTCCCTGGTCTGCAGGAGGTCCCACCTGAGCCTGAGAGTCCAAGAATGAAAGTGTCTTTGAGGGGAAATGCTCCAAATTGCCATTCTTTTAGGTGTCAGAGATTCCAAAGGTGGTCTCATCAATAGTAAGGTCTTTTCAAGTGTAAAATTAGCATTTCAGAGGAGAAAGCACTTTGTGTCCCTTTTGCTTTCTTCGAGTTTACTTGCTCCAAAGAGGGGCATTTCTGGGGACTGTCTGTCCAGGATTGGGGACACACACATACTTATGTTGGGGAGGAATTTGGTTCAGAGATGCAGGGAAGTCAGCGTATAAGGTGAGGAAGGAATTCATCAGAGTGAGAGTAGCAGGGAGGGGCAGCTGCCTCACAGGCAGCAGAGAGTAAGGAAGAACAGAGGAAGGAAAAGAAAACTCACTGAACTCCCCCTAATTGCCATAGGGCAGATATGTTGCCAACTCCTAAAGCCAGGGTCACCTGGTGTCCAGTGTCTGCTTGAATCTGCATGGTGTGGGAACTGAGTCCCTACCACCCCAGGATTTGGCGGAGCCACAGAGCACTGGATGCAGTGAGAATATGTTCTGAGAACTTCCCAAAGGCAAAGAGGAGATTTTTAGGCAGGCTACTAAAGAGCACAATCATACAGCTGCAGTTCCATCTGGGTCACCCAGGCGACAGAAACTTGCAAGCCCAGATCAGAGCTTTCAGCAGCCCCTCCCTACTTATCTGGAGTAGAACAGAGACAGAGTGAAGACCTGTGCTTACTGGAGAACAGAATGAAATAACAAAGTAACAAAGACTCTTAAACCACTGGAAGAGCGCAGAGACAAAATGTGGTAAGTTCAGCAGTGAGAAGTTTTTATTTAAGGTAAAAGGTGCACACTTGAGAGAGGGGAGTGTGGACAACCTCAGGGAAGAGATGCCCCTAAGGTTTACAGGTGATTTATAATTCCTTTGAAGTTGTGTTTTAAGAGTAAGGTTATTTAGGTGACTGTGTTGTGTTGGACTTCAGCATTCTTTGGCCACATAGGTTTGCTTACACTTCTGAGGTCTGTCTCCTGCCCTGGTTACAAAGTTAATTGATTAAGGGGCTGGAAGAAAAGGAAGAATGGCATATAGGTTAAGTTAAGGAATAAACTGGGCCTTTTTTGGAGGTTAAGTACATTTTACAATGGCATGATCTAATTGGTACAATGAAGACATAGGTTGTGCTAGGATACTTTTATCTGGGGAATATTGGGACATTCCAAGTTGTTCCTGGCCTTTGGAACTTCAGCTGATTAACTCATTAAACTGTGAGTCCTTTCTGGCTCTCTGGTTTTATCTGGTTAACTCTTTTGAGTCCCTTTTAGTGGGTTCCACTGGCCTTATTCTTCCTCCACTGGCTCATATCTATTTTTCTGTCTAACATATACACACACACAGCCATCCAATTGGTTCTGTTTTCTGGCAAGCCCTGACTAATACATGGTCCATGAGAGTTTCCTGAAAAGACAGATTTAGGAGTGGGGCATCAGAGGACAGGGCTCTGACCTACAAAGGGCTTAGATGTTCCTGGAAATGTGTATTTAAGAGTCTTCTTGGGGTGAATGCTAGTGGTTGGAAAGAATAAAACTCCTTGGGGTAGTGGGTTTAAGCTCAGGGACATGCTCTGGAAACAACAGAGGGGTAGGTCTGAAGGACAGGCCTTTCATCTTGACGAGCAGGTTTGGGGCAGCCTGACAACAGGGGTGCTGCCAATCTATGGTCCTCGTCTGCCCTTCCTGCACTGTGCTCTCCTCTGAAGTCCAGAATATCAGGTTAACAGGACAACAAGTACTTTTCTTTCTAGGGGAATTCTATTCCTACTAACCATCTCTGGTGAGTTGGTGGTAGACTGATAGCCCAAGCCTTTGATCATCAAAGATAGTGATTTTTCTATGGGCATTCATGGTTCTGAAGTGACATTTTCCTAGGAATCAGCTCTCTGAATGACAATGCAATTTCTGGTGTCTCATGAATCCTGATCATTTCACTTAACCAAAAATGTATGGATTCTGAACATAGTACTGACAAAATTATTCTTTTTTGCCTGAAGAACTAGCTTCAAACCCACTTTTTTTTCTTCTATGAATTTGAATCTTAATTAAGAAAAGAGGACCCATTCTTAGTTTTACAAAAAGTGTCCTGGGCTGGAAATGAAAAAAAATTCCCTTTATATCTCAGGACTCAGCCACGTAAGTGACAACCCTTACCCAGAAACCAATGTTACTACAATCAGCATGGTGCAGCTTGTTTATAAGTGGCTTAAATGTCACTCATATTATGGAACTACAAAACAGCCTGTCTATATAATAATCCATGCAAATGGAGTTCTTAGTAGAAGCTAAAAGTTTCCAGGCAGAATTATCATTATTGTTTATTAATTTCTTAACCACATGTATCTAACTCTATGGTGAAACAAAGGTATAAAAATGCAGCAGTAACTTTACCTTCATGAATAAACTTAATGTTGTCTCTGGGTCACATTTTGTCAGGATCACATTTCCTTGAAAATCTTTGCTCTTTTTACTACATTTCTGTAGCAGAAAATATGACAAAAATTCCAGAGGTTTGTCCTGAAAAATTCAGTCCCCCCAAAAAAGAATTCCTATTTAAAATATTCATCTGAAATATAGGTCAATAAAAGTACAACACAAAAGAGAACACAATTTTAATAGAGCTTTAATCTTTCTTACTAATTAATTTAAAAGTCCAGAAAACAGAGGAACTATTATTTGGCTAAAGTCAATAAATGGGGCTTTCTAATTAGTTCTTTAACTGTCACAATCATGTTAGGATTTCAGGGTCTTAATGGAGCCTCTCCAGATCTTCAGGACCAAAGTGGCCCACACCAGCCTCTTGGCCAGATGAGGGAAGGGGACAGCAGGGACCTTGTCTTTCCACAAGAAGTCCTGGGAGACAGGCTACAACAGTGGAATTATTGGTAAAAGTACCTTAAGGAGCTCCCAAATTTAGCTCCCTCTTAGGTTCTGGATTTGAGCACCATCAAAATTATATCACACAAAATAATTTTCAAGTAGTTAGGTGGCAATAAGTATACTGAACCTACACCAAACACATTTACTAGTATTTTGGTGTTTCAGGAGACAGTTCAGGATCCTTCAAGGTCTTAAGGCCATTCCTGTGAACATCCTTGGTTGATTTATCAGCAAAGCTCACCAGGGCCGTTGCTCACGGGCTGCCCAAGGAGCTGAGCCTTCAGAGAAGACAAATCATGGCTAACTGCAGCTTCTCACACTCCACACTGGACTAGCCCTGGAGATGTGTGCTGCTTACCCGGAAGCCAAGTTGAAACCAGAGCAGACACAAAAAATAAAGAGAGCATACAGATGCAAAGACCATGTTAAATTTACCCACGAAGAAGAATGGCTCCAGTGGAAGAGAAGGATTTGAGAATCTTCCCTTGAAAAACTGAAGACCTTGTACAGCATCAGGTATGTTAACATCATCCCCACCCCTAAGCTAGTCTCAACTCGCCAGAACCAAGAGCTGCATATTTCATTTTCCCAAAGCCTTCTTGTCTTAGGCAAGGATGTGCTCTGTACACTGATTCGCCTCATTGTTTCCTGATGTGTGGACTGACTTTTCTAGGAGAATATCCAAATTTCTGTTCTTTTGTGTTCTCTTTCTCTTCCTATCTCATCTAGACTTCTTCTCCCATTATCATTTTATATCTGGTTTCACACTTTCTCAGCTTTTCTGCCATTGTTTAAACTGTTGAGTAATGTTTATATGAAATATAAAGCCACTAACATGTTTTTTAAAGAAGTCACTTCTGATTGAAATTAATCACAAGACAGAAAACAGTACGCAATGTAATGAACTTTTAAATAACCTAGAAGAGTTTTCTGTCTATTGTATGTACCTTACACATCTTGAGTCCAGAATCTCTCAGGGATGTTTTTACAAACAAATGTCATTTCTCAGAGGAATTGTGTCCCCAAAGGGACAAACTGGTAAATAAATAAGTAAATGCAAACTAAGAATATATTTAAGTGTTGGGGTTTTTGTAGTTTGTTTTCTTCAAAGAAACACTTACAGAATTTTCCGTTGAAAGTTCTGTCAATCCATCTGCCAGAGCTTGTACAATTTCTTGGTTATTCAGAATGTTAGCCATACTCATGGTGTCAAACACAAACTGCCCTGTAAAGATTGGCCATATGCCTTGTAATTAATTTATGTAAGTGATATAATCAAGAAGAAAACAACTCAGTCCTCATAGTTGCTTTTTAGTGGATAAAAATGGAAAGAATAAGAATAAAAACTCTATTATGCTATGAGGATTTTCTACCATAATAAAACAAAAAGTGAGCAAAAGCAACTGAATGTGTAGCACATACAAAAAGTACCCAGCCTGGTAAAGCTGATAGTGCAATCTATATATTGGACAACAAGGTAAGAACATGGGAAAATGAACCTTATAAATTTAAATTTTAGATTTTCAATCCTACCAAAAATTCCCCCACACTCCCCTTTGGGAGGAATATATGTATTGAGCATATACATAAATAATATTTTTGTATTTCTATACATATATAAATATACAAATATATAAATATAAAGTAAATATTTATGTATACATAAATATGTAAATATTAAATACTTAGGTATTTAAGTATTTACTAATTACTTAACACTTAAATACCTAAGTATTTACGTATACATAATATGTAAATACAAATAATAAATATTTTAAGTCTATGGGAAATAACATACAAACCATACTTGCACAGACATCTTACACATTTTTAAAATATTTTGAACATACATTTGCATGAAAATAATTTTATTCCATTTGACTTCTCATTACTTCCAAATATCATCAAAAAATATTTCTATCTTGAAAGAGCTAATCTTTCCATTATTCTCCCTAGTCCTTAATATCTATGAAAGAAACAGGAGAAGTAATTTCTTCCTGTTTATAGCCTCATAATTATTTTTAACTATTGGCTGAACATCTGCTAAATGTGGTAGAGTGGGTAGTACATAAAACAAAGGAGACAGACCACTCTTTGGAAGGCACTGATGTAAAGAGATGTAGGACATGTATTGACATAAAATATCTTCATACATATAGTGTGTTACAGCTCTTGTGTTGACAGAAACTGTGTCAATAGGTGTTAAATAAGGAGTGGGCCAGGGAAAGAAGAGGTAGTAAGGCATCGATGAATAATGACTTGGTTTAGAGGCTGTTTTAGTCAGATAGGAAAAGTGAGGGGAAAACTGAACAGCTAGTTAAAGATTAGGGGTGGGTGTGGTGTAATCATCCACCCAGATTGTAAAAAAAAAGAAAAAAAATTCACTTTACAGAATGAACTGATTTAGGTGAAGATTCACTTGACACAGGAAATTGTTTCCAAAAGACTCTATTGTGATGATTTGATATTGAATATGGAGTGTCGATGGGAAAATAAATTCAGTGATGTTCAATAGGCTTATCAGAGGAGCCCATCACCAAATCAAGTATTTTAGATAGAAAATAAATAGAACACAACTGAAGAACAATTTAAGTAATGGGTGCTGTGGTCTAAGCGGTGCTTAACTTAGAGCAGACTGTAGTGGGAGAAGGGCAGAGCTCTCTGGCTTAGCAAAGACTTAGCGAATTTCGTCTAGGTAAGTAATTGACTGGCATCAACTAGTAAGCAGGTAAAATTTGAATATGAACTAGCATCAGCATTTTGAAGATGAATATATTTGGCTTTAGGGATATTCATTATATTGGAAAGAAGACTAGAAAAACAATAGGAATAAAGTTTTACTGAAGATGTTAAAGAGTCAACTTTTACTTGAGCCATTCCTCAACTTATATCCACTCTGGATATGGAACACACTTCATACATAACTTGCAGCAGAAGTAGCAAGAGTTCTTACCTATCATCCTGTCACTGATGTTCTTCTTCAGCTCCTTGAAGAGAGGACTTAACTGTTTCCTTACTGATTTCAAGGTGTCTTCCAAGAAGTCTGTGAGGCTGGACCACGTCTGCAGCTTTGATTCGCTGAAGTAGATGGAAGGGGGAGGCTTTTCCTGGTGTTGTCCCAGCCAGTCACTAAGAACTGAATTATTTTCTCCTTTTATTATAGCAGATGAGCTCAGATGAAAGAACTCTTTTTGTTTACAACAAAAAACTTAGTTGGAGTCCTAGCAGGCTTATTATCCTTTCTCATTAGAAGCCTAAGATAAACATCCACAGTCTGTTTCCAAAGGTAAAATTAGAAACTCAAAATGGACACAATGAATAATTTCAAATGCCTATCTATTCTTTAATAGATAAGATTAACATATTATATTTGAAATCAAAATTAAATAATTGCTAGATTTGTACCTTGGGAAGCAGAGTAGGCCTCTAAGTAAGAATATTTATGAAATACAAGCAAACCCCACCCTACCTGGTTTCTCCAGAAACCATCCAAAGTCATCCTTGTCATAGCCAAACCTGTATCTTTCTTACATCATATCAGGCTGCTCTCCTCTCTCTCCAAATATGTCTATATGACTGTAGTGGGTGTGTGAGTCCTCTCCTTGAAAAGCAATTACTGAATGATATAGTGGCATGTTAAACTTGATTTCCTGTCTTGAATGGACAGCCTTATTTTATTCTGCTCCGCCCATTTTTATTGATGAACATGTTAACACCTTTATAACATGTTCTTATAGAAGGAGACAAAGAAGAAGAGAGGGAAGGGGAGGATGAACAGGAGGAAGAGGGCACAGAGGAGGAGAGAAAAGAGAAAATGTGTTCCATAAACAACAGGGTCTGGTCTCTGCTATGCTATGCTAGGCTGATGCCTTGCTCCACAAGGCCAAATATGCTCTCATTTGGTTATGTTGCTATATAAAGCAAAATTAACAAGTGACTTCTGCTACAAAACTATATTAGGCCAATGTGCTTTTTGTTGTAACTGCATGGAATCTTTTCCCTTACAAGTTTCCCAGTTATGCCAGCTTTCCCCAGTCTTGAAGACCACTGGCATTTGGGTTTAGGGGGATAGTAATTTATATAGTTTCTACATCATACCAAGCCCCATTTGATAAGAGCCAAGGGGCTTTTAAAGGGGAAAGTGATTAGCATTACTGTAGCACAGCAATTTGGTTCCCTTGTTGGTTAGCTAATGTTATATTTTGAGCCAATATTTGCAGCTTTAGTATCTAAATAAAACTTTGCTTCCAGGTATATTTTATCTTTGTTTTTCCTCTCAAATAATGCAGCTGAAATGGAGCCTGGGCAAGCCCCTTCACCATTTTTTATAGTTGCAGATCATTTTTCCAAATGAAACCATGTTGATTATATTTCACTAAGAAAAATATTTCACTAAGAAAAATATTTCACTAAGAAAAATTATTTGTACTTATTACTTCTCTAGATCAGCAACTATACATCTTTGTTTAACTGTTAAAGATGATGTTTCAACAGTTTATGCAGATGATAGTTTGAAGCAAATACTTGGAATAAATAATCTTATAAGCAAATGACTGAGTGATGGGAAATGACAGTTTAGGAAGTGACAGAATTCCTTCAGAGAAGGAATGGAAGGCAGTAAATGACATCAGGCAGAACCAGTGTCTGTACTTTTGGTGATCCTGGAGTTGGTGGGCATTATTGGGCACTGTGGTCAGCCCCCGTATTCACTTACTGTGTTGGTAATAGCCAGTTGCAATCCCAGTGGGGGCAGTAAATAACGTGCCAGTTAGTTGAGACAGCTGAGAAAGAACTTCTGTTCCTGCCTCTGTACAGTCAGAAATACTTTCATTAGTTTACACACAGATTTTGACACGGAACAGTTAGGTGTTCCTTATGAGTACTAATAATGTGGCCAAGAAAGGACACTAGGAGCTCTCATTTTCAATTCAGTTCCCTTATGGAACAGTCCATAAACACTTTACAGCTTGCCCACCAAGTGCTGAAGTCCAAACAATTTGTGAGGACTAAACAACAGGGTGGAGAAAAAGGGCATGAAGTTTGACCTGGTGCTTATTTTCAAATTGTAATAGACAGGCCAAAGCAGAGAAAAGTCTACATGTATGTTCTAAAATAGTCTGGGTTTTCTAAAAATGTCCCGTGGGAAGAGAACAGAGTTAAAACTGTCAAACACAACGATCAAAATTTAGCATGGCATTAATTTCACCTCTTCTTCAGTGACACAGCAAAAGATTGGATGATTGAATTCAACATATAGATTGAATTCCTTAAAATGAAACTGATACTTTGAGATTTTAATTCTTTTAGTCCGAGAATCATTACTCCAAATTGCTTCAGTTGCTTGGAATCAGATGTCAGTGGCTGAAATATTTCTGTTACTAACTTGCATCTAATCTTTTAATTGACAAATAGGTCAATGAAATAAAATAGAGTCCATAAGTGTACCTATACATTTCTAGCCAATTGATTTCAACAAAGAGTCTTCACAAGGAATGGTCCTGGCACAATTAGATATCCATATGGGGAAAAAAATAACCTCAGTCCATACCATGAATATTATTAAAAAAATAAAATCAATCAAAAACCTAAAATGTCAAACTTAAAACTATAAATAATTTAAAAGAATACATAGAAGACAATCTCTGAACTTTTGTTAAGTAAGGAGTTTTTAGATATGATGTCCAATCTATAAAAGAATAGATCTATAAAAGAAAAAAATGGAAAAATTTGACTTCATCATAATTAAGAACTTTTCAAAAAAGAAGTTCCGAGAAGGAAAAGATGAGCCATAGGCTGGGATTTAATATTTGCAAATCACTTTTCTGGGAAACATAGAGAGTTCTCAATAGGAAAATAACCTAATTTTAAAAATAAAAGATTTGAGCAGAAGAGTTCACCAAGGAAGGCAAATGAATGGCAGAAAAGCACATGAAAAGATGCTCAGTATCATTAGTCATTAGGAAAATGCAAATTAAAACCACAATGACATACCTCTGTACACCCATCTGAATGGCTAAAATTAAGGAGACTGACCATAGCAAGCATGGGATGCTGGACAACTGTACTCTTACGACACTAGTGGAAATGTAAAATGGTACAACCACATCAGAAAATAGTTTAACCTGTTTTTAAAAAGTTAAAACCTATTATATGACCAAGCCATTCCATGCCTACGTATTTATATATGAGAAATAAAGCATATGTTCACACATATATTCATAGCAACTTTATTTGTAAGAACCTGAAACTGAAAAGAACTCAAATATCAACAAGTGAATGGATAAACAAATTGTGATGTATCTGTACAATGCAATAATTGCCAGCAACAAAAAAGAATGAGTCACTGATACAAGCATTAAATGGATTAATGTAAAATAATTCTTCTGAGGAAGGAAGCCTGATAAAGAAGAATGTACAATGTATGATTCCATTTATAGAAAATTCTGTAAAATGCAAACTAATATGTCATGAGAGAAAGTAGGTTAGTGGTTGTCTCCCATTGGGGGTAGAGAGAAGCAGGAGAGAAAAATTATAGATTGGCGTGAGGAAACTTCTAGGGGTGATGAATTAATTATCTTTTCACACATGTCCACGTTTATCCAATTGTATGCTTTAAATATGTGTACATTTTATTGTATGTCAATTTCACCTTAATAAAGCTATTGAAATATGTTTAAAATAATGCCCTCAAAAGGGAATTTTAGGCTTTTAGCTGGTTGAATGAGGATATTTGAACAGGAATGTTGGGGAAGGGGTAGGTTTGATGCTGGGGAAGCAATCAAGAATTTGTTTCAGATTTATTAACTTTGGGATGCCTATAAGACATGCAAATTAGATATTCAGATAAAGATATCAAGTAAGAGCTAGATGTGAGTGTGCTGCTAAAGAATTCAGAGCTGGAAGCATGAATTCTGAAGCCTCAAGAATATAGATCAAATTTAGAGTCACTGGAATCGATGAGATGCTCCAGGGAGAGAGTGTAGTTGTGAAAAAAGAGAGAGCCCAGGATCAGGCCAAGGGCACACTGAAGGGTCTTGCAAAGGAGACTGAGAAGAAGAGGCCACTGAAGTGGGAGGAGTACAAGGTGGGGGCGGGGCAGTATTAGGGAAACAGAAGGAGAGTTTCAAGGAAGAGTAGTCATCTGCATCCGATGCTGCTGAGAAGTCAAGGCAAGGTGAGGATGGAGAAGGGACCACTGGATTCGGGCATGTGGAAGTCACTTAGAGTCTTCTGAAAGCAATTTCAGTAGAGCTAAGACTATTTGCAGGAGCTCGAAGAGCAAACGAGAGATGCAGAAGGTGGAGGCCGTCAGCATAGACAAGGTGCTCTGAGTGTGGCCCACGATCAGCATCAGTGCCTGGGAACTTGGTAGATGTGAAAATTCTCAGGCCTCATGTCAGACCTATTAAGATAGAAATCCTGCAGGGACTCGGCAGTGTGTATTTTAACAAACCTTCTAGGTGATTCAGATACACACTAGAGTTTGAGAAACACTGATACAGCCAGTTCAAAAAGCAGTGAAAGAAAGTTTATTCTCTCCTTCCCTCCCTCCCTTCTCTCTCTCTCCCTGCAAGCCCCCTCTCGGATGGGGAGCTGTTGCAGGAGTTCCTGATTGGATAGAAATGATTCAGTAAAGAGGATTGAGGCTCCTGGAGAGAAGGTGAGTGCAGAAGTGAAGTCTGGAGAAGGTGACAGGTGGTGGGATAGAGTCCAAGCAGAGTAGCTGACTGTTGAAATGAGCAGGGGCACTGCTTCTCCTGTAACAGAGGGAAGACCAATGATGAAGGTAAGACGGGGAGTAGGTAGTAGATTTGATGGTGGGAGGGAAATTAGGGAATTTTCTTAGGGAAATAAATGGTGAGGTCAACAGCTGAGAAAGAGAATTGTTGAAAGATTGACTAAAGAGGAGAAGGGATGAAATAGTCATCTCAAAGAGTGGGAAGATGAGTTTACCAAAGAAATGTAGGATTGCTTATCACTGCCACAGTCCCTTTGATATTTATGCCATCAGAGTAAAGTCAGATCACATAAGGACAGTTGCATGTCTCTTCCCAACAACAGTCTTCCACTGCTTTGGGGCTGGCAGCCATAGACTACGTGATGGTTGTTTCAATGAGCACTGGGATTTAACCAGGAGAAAGAGAGACAAAGAAGTTCAGATTCTTTGCAAGAGAGCAACGATAATGATGAACCATTAAATCCAAGTTTAACGAGGAAGGAACCACGTGAAGGCGTGGTAATAGTGAAAGTGTGGGAGCAGATGGGAGATCTTCAAGCAAATGATAGATAGAGTGGGACTATTTGAGTATGTGCTTTGGAAATGGTAACTCAGAGAGACAAATGCTTGAGAGCAGCATTTCAGGTGTGCTGCACCTACTGCGAATGCCGAGCTCAAGAGTGATACCTGCAGTGGCAGAAAAGAGATGTTTTGGTCTGAGAAGCCAGGCTCTCCTCACTGAACCAGGGGGTCTTATGGTTCATCCAGGTAAAAATTATATTTGAACAAGAAGTTCAGAGATGGTTTTAGGGTCTAGAATGAGTTGTTTGAGTGCCAGGAAGTTTCACTTGAGGCAGTTTTTATGTCACCAAATGTATTGTGTTTTTTTTTCCCTTTCCCCCATTCTCTCTGCCTTTCAGTACTTTACTTTCCCATATCCTTTCTTTTTCTTCAACTCCAGTTAAAAAATTTGCTTTGCTGTCATTATACAAGTAATACTAGTTCATTATAGAGAGTCAAGGCAAATAAAAAAGGTAAGAGGAAGGAAAACTCACTTATCATCTTATCCAACTACACTTAACACCTTGGTATACGTCCTTCCGAATCTGTTTCAGTACATACCCCACCTCCACTCTCCCCCACACATACACAGGTATTAAACAAAGGGTCACACCATGTTCTGATTTCAAAAGTAGAAAATCTGGAAAACTTACCTAGAGATGGATGCTGTTACTATTTTGCTACATTTCCTCCTAAATTTTTGTCTGCATGTTTTCTACACAGTTAACTATACAACAATATTTTTTACAATAAATCATATTTCATTTTTCTTTTAAATTCTTTCCCATTCTTTTGTTTGCCCCTTCCCCATGGTTGTAGCTGCCAAGGGCATGCTTTGCATTGTACTGAGTAGTCCAGAGAAATTTGAGGATTAAGAAATTTAAAACTCACAGTTCCCTTAAGGAATGGGTAATAAGAAACAGGTTGAGAAAATTTAATTTCACACTCCCTATCCCCTACTCTGCCTGGTAAAAAAAAAAAAAAAAAGACAACAAAGAAAACATAGCCCATGAATGCAGAGCTTTTATTTAACAGATATCTAAAAAGTGAATTTAACTTAATGTTTCTGAAGTTTCCCTTCAAGTACTAAATCAACTTTGAAACATAGTGACTGACACTAGATAGGCAGGTGCTTAAAATTACATCAGTCATCTCAGTAATCACCCACCACACTCAGGTTTACAAAACACTTCACTGGTTTTAATATTCTAATATTATTTATTTTTATTATCTAAGTGTTTACACTATTTTGATATTCACAAGCTCTGTAAGGTAACATGGTTACCCTAACTTTCATGTGAGGACACAGAGGTCCACACACTTGCCTAAGGCCATGGAGCCAAAGTGGCATGAGTGGAATTCAAGTCCAAGGTCTTTGGCCACCAAGTTCACACTCACTGGTTCCAGGTTCAGAACACAGCAGGGAGAGTTTTCTTAGACTGGCTGATTGTGGCTCCTATGTCGGTCAGGCACTTTCCCCTGTATGGTGGAGGCTGATTTTATTGTGTTTTCCTAAAGAAATAGAAATAATGTTCCTGGCTGGTTCTTGCCAATAGTGACTATTTCTGCAGGCACAGGTTACTCTGACCAGTAACACAAACCCACTTCCTCCCTAAATACCTGAGTATGTGAGGTATGAAAAGACAAAAGAAAGAGTAAAGTGTGACTGAATTATCTGAACTGAGGACATTTCACAAATTCACAAAATGTCATCATTCAGAAGGCATAACCACTACCTTTCACACTGACCTGATGCTCCAAGTGGTGCAAAGAGGTCCACATGACCCCCTTCTTCTTCAGGGGCCACATAGCTTCCTAATTTCTCCCAGAAGTCTCTCACCTCAGGGCTCAATAAGTTGTTAATGCCAATTCTATAGCCTGAGGAAAAAAAATCAAAATGTCATATTAGTTTGTAGCATTATCATTAACAGAAACTCTTAGCAGTTTGTGAAAATATAAGCACTACTCAAAAAACCTTTTGATATTCACAAGCTCTGTAAGGTAAGGCACGATTACCCTAACTTTCATGTGAGGACACAGAGGTCCACACACTTGCCTAAGGCCACGGAGTCAAAGTGGCATGAGTGGGATTCAAGTCCAAGGCCTTTGGCCACCAAGTTCACACTCACTGGTTCCAGGTTCAGAACACAGCAGGGAGAGTTTTCTTAGATTGGCCGATTATGGCTCCTGTGTCGGTCAGGTGCTTTCCGTTAAGACCAAGATCTGCATGGCCCCTCTGCTTCAGTGCTGCACCATGTCAGGGTCATAAAAGGTGCCACTGGCCTCCAGCATGGCCACAGTCTCCTTCACATTCTGGGTGTATTGGACACTGTGCACTTCGGTTTAGGACACTGTGTTTCTGCCTCCATGTGCAGCGTGGTGAGGTACCAGGCTCAAAGCAGAATGGTCGGTCAAGTCCTGGGATTTTTGCAACTGAGTTCCAAAGAGAAAAAATGTTTTCCACAGTTGTCAATCAAAAACTAAGTCCTACAGAGCAGAAGAAAGGGTCCCAGAGATGGTAAACATCATTGAAACTCTCAGTTCTTGGGAACTGTGTGTGATGATTCAGCTAATCTTCATGTGTCTGGGGTCCTGGGCACTACATTCCTGAGCCCTGGCAATGAAATGAAAACAAAGCCCGGCACAAGAACCTGGTGGTTCACTCCTTCCCATCAAGATACATTATGGAAGGACCTCTGCAGGCGACTGGAATCAGAGATTTCATTTTGTTGTTGGTTTTGAGGCAAAAGCTTTTGGGGAAAACACCACAATTAAATAAAGGGAACTTTAGTTTTCAGGTATTTTGTTATTGTTACAACTGATTTTTAAAAAGAAGCCAAGGAAAAGGCAGTATTTAGAAACTTTTCTATCTGGAGAACAAGAAGTCTGAGATGTTAGGAAACCCAAGCAGCTCTTCCACTTCTTATGAGGTGAACCTACTACCACAGTATGAATTTTAAAAAAATTTTTTATTAAGGTATTATTGATATATACTCTTATGAAGGTTTCACATGAAAATACAATGTGGTTACTACATTTACCCATATTATCAAGTTCCCACCCGTACCCCAGTGCAGTCACTGTCCATCAGTGTAGTAAGATGCCACAGAGTCACTATTTACCTTCTCTGTGCTACAGTTTTCCCTGTGACCCCCCACACCATGTGTACTAAACATAATACCCCTCAGTCTCCTTCTCCCTCCCTCCCCACCCACCTTTCTGCACCCCTCCCCTTTGGTAACCACTAGTCCCTTCTTGGAGTCTGTGAGTCTGCTGCTATTTTGTTCCTTCAGTTTTGCTTCGTCCACAGTATAAATTTGTCATTGATACCTCTCTACCATTTAGAAAAGATCTACAATGTAATTAATCAAATTTAAAGCCCAAATTAATAGTGGCAGTGCTTTACCTGTTGGGGATATATAAAATTGCATGTGGACTACAACTTGCTCCAGGCACATGCAAACTAAACAAGAGCCACAAAATATGGTAAAGCTAAACCAAATGCAGGTAATTCTTATTAATAATAAAATTCACTAAAACTAAATATGCTGAGTTCTAGCCACTGAGACAGCGGTTTGATTAGTGATCCAGGTACTCACTCTGCCATTTTGTGAGTTCCCTGCCAGCTGGATCTTTGACCATACTATTCCCTTTCTTCCCTCTTTTCACAAAGATGTAAGATTTCATGTTAGTAAATCTTAAAAAACAATTCTGTTTTAGGCATAAGCAAGAAAGGATGCAAATTATAGTATGAGGAAGAATAGAAATTGAAAGTTTACTTCTAAAACATTTATCATCTCCTTCCCCCCAAAAAGAATAACCATCAACATTTTTAAAAGATGCTCCCTAACAAGTTAATGATCTCAGCCAGTATTTCCCTTTGTCATATAGGCCATTTGCAAGTATAATGAATGTGGTTAGTGTGCAACTTATAGATCTTGGTATTTGTTGCTATTAAAATTGGTTCACTTTTATCAGACTTAGAAACTTTTATGCATCAAAGGAAGTAATCAACAGAGTGAAAGGCAACCTACAGTGTGGGAGAAAATATTTGCAAATCATACATCTGATAAGGGATTATCTAGACTATATAAAGGATGTCTACAACTGAATAACAAAATAAATCAAATAATCCACTTAAAAAATGGGTCAAGGAATTGAACAAACATTTCCCTAAAGAAGATATATAAATGGTCAACAAACATATAAAAAGATGCTCAACATCACTAATCATCAGAGAAATGCAAATCAAAGCCAAATGGATATCATCTCATGCCCACTAGGACAGCTAATATAAAAACAAACAAAATCCCCCCAAACCAGAAAATAACAAGTGTTGGTGAAGATGTGAAGAAATTGGATCCCTTGTGCACTGTTGGTAGGATTGTAAAATGGTGCATCTGTGAGGTCGAAGCAATTCATCAGTGAAGGAATGGATAAACAAAATGTGGTCAATACATACAATGGAATATTATCCAGCCTTAAGAAAGGAAGGAAATCTTGCCATATGATGCCACATAGATGAAACTTGAGGACATTATGTTAAATGAAATAAGCCAGTCACAAAAAGTCAAATGTATGATTCCACTTATATGAAGTATCTAAAATAGCCAAATTCAAAGGCACAGAAAGTAGAATGGTAGTTCCTAGGGGGTGGGGGTAAAGGGGAGTTGTTTATGGGTGATAGTTAATTTTAAGTGTCAGTTTGACTGGGCCATGGGTACCCAGATACTTAGTCAAATGTGATTCTGGGTGTGTCTGTGAGGGTGTCTTGGAATGAGATTAAATCTTGAACAGGTAGACTAAGTAGATCAGCCCCTAATGTGGATGGCCCTCACCACATCAGTTGAAGGCCTGAATAGAGCAAAAAGGCTAACCCTCCTTTGATTAAGAGGGAACTCCTCCTCTGTGACTGCTTTGAGTTGGGATAACAACTTTCTTAGCAACTCAGAACTTAAATAGTACTATGAAGGTCATGTATGTGGATAAACACTACATGAATGCAAAATGCGTTGCTCTTTCTGATCCCGAGTCTTACCTTGGAGTAAATTGATCTCTCTGCTGTCTCCATCACTGAATATTCCCATACTCTGTGCCCTCTGCCCATCCAGAGCTTTTTCTATGAGATAAAGCAGGCTCTCCAAGGTCAGGCCACTGTGTTCATACACCAGAGAAATGACACCTGCCCTAACACTGTTCACCACCATCTAGGAAATGAAACCAAAGCTGTAGGAACCAAAGCCTATTATTTTAGAATATTTATTAATGAAATAAATACAATGGATATGAAATCTGTGATTTTTAAAAACTTTTTTTCCAAAAATTATGAAAGGAGGAATGTAAGATTTCTCCTTTATGATTTCTTTCTAAATTATTTTATTTCATTCCTTATTAGTGTAAGATGAGAAAATTAAGTATACTTGTAACTCAGTCCACTCAGAGATAAATACTATTAACAAGTGAGGTTACTTTCTTCCAGCCTTTTTATTTTCACACACACCCATGCCTTGAGACATATATACAACTTTTCAAAAATAATAAAATTAAGATCATACAATTTTGCAATGGATATCTTAAATGGATTTAAAGTTTTCCTTTTAATTATGAATTTTTGAGTTATTAATAGATTGATAAATATTCCCCCATTCAAATACATATTAAAACCACTGTTCTTTGAATATAACAACCAATAAAATGTTCATTGTGATAAAGTTAATAATCCATTAGCAGCAGATAGGTTGGAAAGTCATTGAAGTCACTGACCTTTCCCCAAACCTCATGCCACTTTCTGGAGGTTATAGTTCAACTGAATAGAGAACCACTACATGGTTACATCCTGCTTTTTACCTAAACATACCTTATATTACTAATTAAGTAAGTAATTATGGCATAGTCTTATATAAAGAAGACAAATAAGATAATGGACTTATACCAGTTTATTCACTCATACTCTTTCACCAGTTATCCTCTGTGTCCAGCATGATGCCATTAAACAGGCAAACTGTCTGTGGCTCACATGGAGATCAAAACTGATCTTGATTTCATGTGGATCCATTAATCTAGACAGTTGTAAATGATCAGCATCAATTTGCAGGTGCCCAGAAAGAGAAGTGATTTCATATCTTGAAAGCAATCATTTCTGTTACAAATAGGAATTTTCTTGAAAACTTCCTAAGTAGGCCAGTGAATATAGCCTACTGAATGTGTCATCCCTTACATATGTCCTTATGTGTGAATTAATGCATATATATGTACACATATACACATATATATGCCCTCACACATATGTAAAAATATATTTCCTATGTCTTCTTTGTGACCCTTAATTTTTATTATTCATATTAAAAGTAAAATACATAACTTCATTATAGAAACAGCATATTTTAATTCAATGTCACCCTCACTAAGTAGATCACAGAATAGGATTTCTGATATGCTTCTTTTGGGAGATGGTGGTTACATGATATTATTACATTTCTTGGGCATTCCAAAGTAGTTTTAAAGTTCTTAAATCACCTTTCTCTTTTTTTGGAATAAGCAACAAATTCAATTCAGTAAGAATGTATTGGACACCTAATAAATACAAGTTTTGGCCTTCTATGTTTTTCTAAAAGAAACTTTGATTTACGGTAACTGTTGCTTCTGATTTTTGAAACTGTTCTGGGTCTGTAAGTTTCCACTTAGATGATTTTTCCTTTTAGGAGATGAATCATTTCATACACATGGTGGCCAAAAGTTTGCCATATATCCTCTAGTATCAATGAAAAAACCCCAATTCAGAAAAGGGCTGGCTCCTAGCACAATCTGTACCTCATATGCAGGAATCCGAGATGATATTAATATGAAGTGTAGCTGGAAAGCAGATGAAGAGCTGCTATCATTTTTATGAACTCTACACCAATTTTTCTTTGATGATAAAGGGTAGGAATGGCTTCCAGAAATATTACTTCTGTAGGGAAAAAAGGAATAAGTGAAGTGTTAGTTTTCTGTTAATTTAATTTTGATAACTGAGCACTACTATGTACTTTGGGCACATGTTACACAGCCTTATGACTTCAGTCTCCCTGTGGTTTTTGGGGACAGCAGTAATGGGGCTCCTGGGTGAGGTGGAGCCAAAACTGCCCTCTGAGTCTCCCCTTTGACAATTGTGGGATACTGGAAAGGTCTCCTGGAAATTGCTTGGCTTTTTCGGGGGCATTTAAAATGAATGAAATTACATACTTAGGGGCTCAAAACAACATGTTAAAAAAAAACATGAAGAAATTTAAAATCTTTGAAATCACCTGAGCCGCAGGGCTTTCTGCATAATGTTTCCATTCTTTCCATGGCCACCTATCCCCCACATTACCATTTGGATATACTTACTCCATAAGAAACATTTCTGGAAAAATGTGATTTTTGCTTAGTGACTTTATACAGAAAATATACTACATCCACAATATAGCTTCTTTGCCAGATTAAGAATATTCGAAACACAAATTTTGAATATTATATATCTCCTTCAGAAATCATGTTAAAGACCACTATTCTTGAAGATTAAAGCATCACTTCTATTGCTATTTCATAGGATATGAGCCATATAATCACACAGAATCCCTGCATGTTAGTTAAATTATTCTACAGTGACTTCTTGGTGTCATGGGATGGTCCTGAGCCTTCCGTAGATGGGGTTTGCTTACCGCTTGGGCAAAGTTTCTAAGGATGCCAAAACAAGATGTTTCTCCAAAGCTTCCTGTAATTCCACGCAATCCCTCACAGTCTGGGAGAGGCGTGGCTGGCATTTGGATTTTAACAATCTAGAGCAGCATGTTCCACTCACCCAGGGGGGTCGAACTTTGAATAACTCCTCTGAAAAACAAGCAGGCTCAGCTGTTTACTTCAGGCTTCCCCAGCCAAGTCTACACAGATAAAGGCATCAAAAATAAAGCTGTACCAGGGCAATATTCCAAATGGCAATAATTATAGCCGTTTTTACAGACTGGATTTCTTATCCTCTCAGCACTGCGGCTGCTAGTTACCAGTCATTTCAGGTCAAGAAACAAAGCTCAGAGAACAAGCACCTCTTTTCTTGTGGAAACCAGTGAATCAATTTTACGCCTTACTTCTGTTTCTACCCTTCTTAACTTTAAGTAATTTCCCATTTGTGATGATCTTACAGAGGGTGAGTCAGCGCAAAAAAAGATGGGAGAACTCAAATCGCTTTGTTGATTACTTCTACACTGTGAAAATCAGGAGGCTTAGCTGAAAAATGTGTCTTGTCCCTCCTCCCTTTCCATGATCTTTTTTAATGACATTCTTCTGGCTTCCATTCCTAATTTCATTTCTCCTCCTTTTTCTCCAATCCCATTTCTTCTGCCCAGAACCTATTATTTGCTTTGGCCTATGTGCATACTTCTCTCTCCTCCTTGTTTTTGGTCTTATAAACCTGAGAGGAACTAAGACAGCAATGGAGGCACTAATACTTGGCCTTATGTATTTCATTTGAAATATTTGTTCTTATTAATTAACTTGAAATATACAGTGAAGAAAAAAAAAGAGCTTGTTCTAAACATATTTTAGAGAGTGCCATCCATATGCTATCCCAGAAAAACAGCACTGTGTTCTTCTGTGGAAATTTGTATGTAAATCCATTTGTTTCTGCAATACTTACATAAGATATGAAATTTTAAAATGCTACATACTCTTATGTAGTGCAATTTTCTCCCAAATTATTTTCCTTAGGCACTTTTCTCTTTGTCTCTCCTGCAGCTCCTCATCTTCTGTTTTGGGTTCATTCAGGGTCCCATAAACAGCAGTGGCTTCCCTAGGTGTTAGCCAGTCTAAGTGGGACACACAAGCAATGTAATGGTGCTTCCAGGCACCATACTCATTATCTGTTGGAGTATAGGGCAGAAACCATCCAAACTTAATGCATTTGGGCATCCATAAGCAATCCTTCAGAAAAACAAGCAAGAAAGATGGTTGTAAAAAAAATTTTTAAGGACAGATTCCTACTAGTAATGTTTTTAGGGATACAGATAATTCTTTTTTATTACATTGCAATTTCTAGTGTGGTTGACTTGCCATTTAAACTTGACTCTGAGAAATAAGAAGCATATCTTATTCCACAGAGAAAAATCATCTTAGATGAAAACACATATTATATATAAACATATTTATATTAGTCATCTTTGTACAGTTTCTAATGTGCCCATGGTACTGGATTACTTTAGCCCTAGATTCTTAGAATTCTGCTTCGAGGATGGTGTAGTTTGTTTAAGACCAATCCTGGGAACAACTTTGATTGAACATGATGTTGCCAATATGCAACCAGTTTTGATATAAGAAAATAGTAAATTTCATGTGGCTGAATCTAATCAAGTTTCTAGATGAAACATTATAAAATTATTATTTGAAGGCATGATAAGTCCAATGCAATAAAGACTTGGGCAACCAAGACCCCAGACAGAACGGAAACCCAGAGAAGTAAGCCTAACATTTGGCATCACTTTTCACTTCAAGGCATCTGGCAGTTCCAAAGTAAAGCTTAGGTTAAGAAGCAGAACAGAGAGTTATGGCTAAAACACTTAGAAGTTATGAAGAATTTTAGGCATTCTAAAAGGGAAGAGAGGAAATACATTTAAACTCAGGGCCCACTAAGGGGAAGAGCCGTGGTCGTCACACCAGGCTTGCAGTTGAGGTCCTTTTCAGCAAAAAATGATAAGGTATTAGACAGACTATCAAAAAACTGAAGCTGTCTTTGAAATCTCATTCTCTGGTTGGATTTCAGTGACCTATTCCTAGGCTGACCAAATGCCAGAAGCAAAAGCAAATTCTCCCTGGAGGAAGATATCATCCAGAGGCTCAAATTATCTATCGCATCAAATTTTTTTGCTCAATATCTGGTACTCAGTCAAAAATACCAGGCACACAAGAAGACAAGAATTATTTATTTTTTCTTTTGTCTTTAGTAAATAGAGACCTTTAGAAGATTGAGATGTTGTAATTATCCTACAGGAACTTAAAAAAACCCTATAGTTAATATATCTAAGATATTAAATGACTAGGTAGGAAATTTTGACAAAATAGTCAAATCGACATCTTAAAACTGAAAAATATAATAACTGAAATTTAGAACTCAGTGGACCATTTTAAGAGCAAATTAGAATCCAGCTAAAAAGATAATTAGTAAACTGAAAGATAGGCCAGAAGAAAAATCCAGGCTGAAACACCGCAGGCCAAAAGGATGGAAAAGACGTCTAAGAGAATATAAAAGCTATAGGACACAGTGAATCAGTCTAACATTTAAGTATTGGAATCCCGGAAGAAAAAGACAGAAAAATGGAGCAGAGGCAATCTATGTAGAGATAGCATCTGACAACTTTTCAAAACTGATAATTCACTACATTTCAGATTTACAGTGAAAAATCACTGTAAAACACAAAATAGGGCATGCACACACACACACACACACACATACACACTTCTAGGTACACCATAACAAAATTGCAGAAAACAAAAGAAAAAACTTATAGAAGCAGCTAAAGAAAATAGAAACATTATCTTTAAAGGAAAAACAAAACGTTCTACTTTTGAAAAAAAGCTATGAAAGCCAAGAATGATGGAAAAATTTCAAAGTCTCTAAAAAATTAACTACCAACCTAGAGTTTGAATTCCCAGTGAAAATATCCTTAAAATATGAAGGTAAAATAAAGATATTTTCAGACAAAAACTAAGAGAATTTGTCAGCGACGAGCTGCACTAAAAGAAATATTAAGGAGAATTCAGAAGGAAAATGAAAACAAATGGGAACTCAGAGATGCATGAAGGTATGAAGAGCTAGAGAAAAGGTAAATGTGGTTACTTAAATCAATATCGGCTATGTAAAACATTAGTAATAAAGTCTTGTGAGGTTAATATATAAATAAATACTTTGCGTGTCATATGCATGTCTTTATAAAATTAAAATATTTGAAAACAAAAGCATAGAAACTGAGGGGGACTGGAGCAAATGAAGTAAAAGGCTTCCAGGCTCCTTGCATTATCTAAGAAGTGGTAAAATAATCCTAGAATGAGTGCTATAATCTCCATGATAGTCATGAAAGAACTGCTAAAAAATTTATAGTAACAATCTAAAAAACATTTAAGTACTCCAAAATAAGACGAGAGAAACAAAATTTAAAACATGGACTAAACAAAAAATAAAATGGTGTACTTAAGCCTAAATATATCAGTATTTACATAAACGTGAATGGACTAAATTTTACTCTAGGTAAAAGTCAAAGATTGCCAAATGTTAAAAAGCCACCGCCACCACTACCTTTGTTGTTTATAAGATATATTCCTTAAACATAAGAACATAGAAAAGTTGAAAGAAAAGAAACAACAATATACCATGCAAACATGGATTTTTAAATGCTATAAATCCAGGGCTCACAGTTGGCTTTCTGCATGTGGCCCCTTCATAGAGAGCTAGGAATTCTCTGATCAGAATCTAAACACAAGCCCACCCTGGAAAGTTTGTACAAGTTAAAGAAGTAAATTATTGATTTGCATGTAAAGTACGTCTACCATTATATTTCATTAAATCTTTTAAAAGAAAGTGAAGAGACAAATGGGCCAGAGTCAGAATTAATGGCAGAGGATGTTGAAGATCTAGATTTATCTTTTTTCAATAGATGTTAGCCAAAGAGGGATCACTTGTGATTGTAGAGCAATTTTTGAGATAAGCTATCATGGATAAAATAGTATCTCATAAAAACCAAAGTTTAAACACTTTTTAGAGAAAAAAGACTTCTTTAGCCATGATAAAATGTTTTCTAAATAATTAAATTGAGTATTTAAAGATTATTAAAATCACCTGAATTATTAAAATTGTGTATAACCCCTTACTTACAAAATAAATAATTGTGTTTAACTTATCCTCAATATTTTTCCTTTGGAAAAAGTTAACTATGGTTCAGATACCTTTGTTACTATCTTCAGAGAAGGAAACTACCCCAATTGCCTCATTACAGATTACAGTTGCATACGGGCCCTATTACTAGGAAGTGACAAGTAGTAAACCTGTTCAGTTAAAAACTTCCAGGGCCAGCTGACTTGTGCAGCAGCACACAAATCTTTTGGATTCAGAAAAGAAAAGATATATAGAGAAATGAAGCGTGGTAACACTGTAGAGAAGTCCATTTTGGCCACTGGCATCCTTCCTGAAAACCAGTCTTGGACAAACCTAAAATGAAAGATACAGAAATTTAGTTCAGAACACTAATGTCTAAAATTGACTAAAAATCCAGTATAAATATTGGTCATTGTTCTTTCTCTGATGCTCTACCTATTAGAAAAATTAAATGCTAAATAACATTAGGCTAGATTTAAAAAAAAAAACCTGTATCTACTTTCAGTGACCCATTCTGAAGAGGAAGATCAATAACAAAAATATCTAAAATCCACAGGGAAAAAAATCTGAAATAAATATCATTGTTCAAGCTATACATCTGTGTTGTTTTCCTTTTCCTTCACCCCCAATTCAATAAACCATCAAGTCCTTCCAGCTTTTCAAATATGTATCCTTAAAAATACCCAAATCCAAGCACTTCTCTCCATCTTCACTGTTAGCATCTGGTCCAAGGCACCTCCACATCTCTCCTCAGGATTGCAACAGCCTTCTGATTGTCTCCCTGCTTCTAAACCCATTTTGTTGAGAGTTTTATCATGAATGGATGTTGAATTTTGTCAAATGCTGTTTCAGCGTCTATTGAGATGATCATGTGGTTTTTGTCCTTTTTGTTGATGTGGTAGATGTTGATGGATTTTCAAATATTGTACCATCCTACTTGATCATGATGGGTGATCTTTTTGATGTATTTTTTAATTCGGTTTGCTAATATTTTGTTGAGTATTTTTGTGTCTATGTTCACCAGGGATATTCATCTGTAATTTTCTTCTTTTGTGGTGTCTTTGCCTGGTTTTGGTATTAGGGTGATGCTGGCCTCATAGAATGAGTTTGGAAGTATTCCCTCCTCTTCTACTTTTCGGAAAACATTAAGGAGAATGGGTATTAGGGCTTCTTCACTAAATGTTTGATAAAATTCAGTGGTGAAGCCATCTAGTCTAGGGATTTTGTTTTTAGGTAGTTTTTTGATTACCAATTCAATTTCTTTGCTAGTAATTGGTCTGTTCAGATTTTCTGTTTCTTTCTGGGTCAGCCTTGGAAGGTTGTATTTTTCTAGAAAGTTGTCCATTTCTTCTAGGTTATCCAGTTTGTTAGCATATAATTTTTCATAGTATTCTCTAATAATTCTTTGTATTTCTCTTGTGTCTGTAGTGATTTTTGCTTTCTTGTTTCTGATTCTTTTTATGTGTGTAGACTCTCTTATTTTGTTGATAAGTCTGGCTAAGAGTTTATCTGTTTTGTTTATTTCCTTGAAGAACTAGCTCCTGGTTTCAGTAATTCTTTCTACTGTTTTATTTTTCTTGATTTTATTTATTTCTGCTCTGATCTTTATTATGTCCCTCCTTCTACTAACTTTGGGCCTCATTTGTTCTTCTTTTTCTAGTTTCATTAATTGTGAATTTAGAGTGCTCATATGGGATGATTATTCTTTCTTGAGGTAAGCCTGTATTGCTATGTACTTTCCTCTTAGAACTGTATATAGTTTTGCATCCCACAGATTTTGGTGTGTTGAGTTGTTGTTTTCATTTGTCTCCATACATTGCTTCAATTCTGTTTTTGTTTGGTTAGACCCATTGATTTTTTAGGAGCATGTTGTTAAGCCTCCATGTGTTTGCACGCTTTTTTGTTTTCTTTGCATAATTTATTTCTAGCTTCATACGTTTGTGGTCTGAGAAGCTGGTTGGTACAATTTCAATCCTTCTGAATTTACTGAGGCTCTTTTTGTGTCCCAGTATGTGATCTGTTCTTGAAAATGTTCCATGTGCACTTGAGAAGAATGTGTATCCTACTGCCTTTGGGTGAAGTGTTCTGTAGATCTCTGTTAGGTTCATCTGCATCTGTTCTAATACGTTGTTCAGTGCCTCTGTCTCATTGCTTATTTTCTGCCTGGTTGATCTGTCCTTTGGAGTGAGTGGTGTGTTGAAGTCTCCTAAAATGAATGCACTGCATTCTATTTCCCTCTTTAATTCTGTTAGTATTTGTTTCACATATGTATTTGGTCCTGTGTTGGGTCCATAGATATTTATAATATTTATATCCTCTTGTTGGACTGACCCCTTTATCATTATGTAGTGTTCTTCTTTGTCTCTTGTAACTTTCTTTGTTTTGAAGTCATTTTGTCTGATACAAGTACTGCAATTCCTGCTTTTTTCTCCCTATTAGTTGGATCAAATATCTTTTTCCATTCCTTCACTTTTAGTCTGTGTGTGTCTTTGGGTTTGAAGTGAGTCAGTTGTGGGCAGCATATAGATGGGTCTTGTTTTTTATCCATTCTGTAACTCTATGTCCTTTGATTGATGCATTCAACTCTATGTCCTTTGATTGATGCATTCAGTCCATTTACATTTGGAGTGATTATCAATAGATATGTACTTATTGCCATTGCAGGCTTTAGATTTGTGGTTAACAAAGGTTCAAGGGCCATGTCTTTACTATCTAACAGTCTAACTTAACTTGCTTATTATGCTATTTCAAACAAAATCTAAAGGTTCTTTTTTTTCCCTCCCTTCTTTTTCTTCTTCCTCCACTCTTTATATATTAGTTATCATATTCTGTACTCTTTGTGTATCTCTTGACTGACTTTGGGGGTAATTGAGTTAATTTTCATTTGTTTAGCAATTAATTGGTTTACTTCCTTTACTGTGGTTTTATTTTCCCTGGTGACAGCTATTTAACCTTAGGAGCACTTAATCTATAGCAGGCCCCCCAAAATACACTGTAGAGATGGTTTGTGGGAGGTAAATTCCCTCAACTTTTGCTTATCTGGAAATTATTTAATCCCTGCTTCAAATTTAAATGATAATCTTGCCAGGTAGAGTATTCTTGGTTCAAGGCCCTTCTGTTTTATTGCATTAAATATATTATGCCACTCCCTTCTGGCCTGTAACATTTCTGCTGAGAAGTCTGATGATAGCTTGATGGTTTTCGTTTGTATGTGATCTTTTTTCTCTCTCTGGCTGCTTTTAATACTCTGTCCTTGTTCTTGATTGTTGCCATTTTAATTATTATATATATGTCTCGGTGTTATCTTCCTTGGGTCCCTTTTGTTGGGAGATCTGGGCACTTCCATGACCTGAAAGACTATTTCCTTCCCCAGATTGGGGAGTTTTTAAGCAAATATTTCCTCAAAGACACTTTGTATCCCTTTCTCTCTGACTTCTTTTTCTGGTACCCCTATAATGTGAATATTGTTCCATCTGGATTGGTCACACAGTTCTCTTAATATGCTTTCATTCCTAGAGATCCTTTTTTCTCTCTGTGCCTCAGCTTCTTTGTATTCCTGCTCTCTAATTTCTATTTCATTTAACATCTCCTCAAACTCACCTAATCTGCTTTTAAATCCCTCCATTGTATGTTTCATTTCAGATACTGTATTTTTCAAAGTTTCTGTCTCTTTCTTGAAGTCCTCTGTGAGGTCCTGAATATTTTTTGTAGCTCCATAAGCATGTTTATTATTTTAATTTTGAAATTTTTATCAGGATGATTGGTGGTTTCAGTTTTACTTAGCCCTCTTTCTGGTGTTTGAGGCATTTTGGTTTATAGCAGGTTCTTGTGTGGCTTCATATTACTAATGATTACAATGGAATAATAACTTTTTTTCGGCAGCACCCTCTAGTGCCCAGAAGCTCTACTCTCTGGAGCTTCCCAACCTCTGGAATGATAGCAGGGGACACAGGCGCATGGTACCAGTGCTTGCCATGAGGATAGAGCTCTTTCCTGCTTCCCAGCCTCAGTGCCTGCCTCCACTGTCAGGGCCAGTGGGCCAAGTGCACAGGGAGGAACCTGTATGCCTTATAGCTGCCATAGGTGGGACTGCGGTCTGGCTGGCCTGCCACAATGGTGGGGGCAGCAGGTTTGTGAACCAGTGTTGTCCCAGAGAGAGGAGCAGCAGACTGAGTAGTGCAGGGGGGAGCCTCGGTGCTACATTGCCAGCCAAGGGGATGGAGCGTGGGAAGCTCCTGAAAGTTCCCAACCTGCTGGGCTGAGTGTGCTGGGACAATTTTGTCCACCTGTCCTTTCTCCTGAGCAGCAAACTCTGTGTAATCCTTTCCCCTTTAGCAGCCCTTTAGCAGCCCTCTCACTTTTGGGAAGTCTGTCAAAGTGCATGCCTTTCTTTTGTCCCAGAGCGGCCGATTGTGGGAACCTTTTCTCCACAAGTGACTGGAATCTCAATCTCTTCATGTGTTCCACCTGTCTTTGCTTTCCAACCCCTCTAATCTCCAGAGCACCATGTAATGTGGTTTCATGCTCCTGGAGTAGATCTCCTGGGGTGGGTATTTAGCAGCTCTAGGATTGTACTCCTTCCTCGCTCTGTTTCTCTTCCTCCTGCCAGTGAGCTGGGATGGGGGGAGGGCTTGGGTCCCATCGGATTGTGGCTTTGCTACTCTATCCTTTTCTGTGAGGTCTTCTCTTTTCCCCAGATGTAGGCCATCTGTTGCAGTCTTCTTTCCAGTTGCTCTTTCAGGATTAGTTGTATTTGCTGTATTTTTGTGTCATGTGTGGTTTTGGGAGGAGGTTTCTGCCTCACTTCTCATGCCACCATCTTGTTTAATCCTTTAGCATTTCTTTACTGCAAGTCTTCTGACCAGAAATTTTGTCCATTTTCTATTATCTGAAAATGTCCTTATTTTACTTTAATACTTGTGGTACTATTATGACCTATATTAATTCATTTCAATAATTATCAACCTGTAGCAAATCTGGTTTCTTCTATATCTTCTTCTTCCTTTATTCCCTAGATATTTAAGCAAATCTAAGACATCATATCATTTCATCCATAAATACTTGAGCACATATCATTAAATGGTAAGAATATTAAATATTTTTAATGTTTTATTATTGTATAAGCAATAAAATGCAGAAATCCTAGTGTACAGCCTGATGAATATTGACATGTACCTACCAATGTAACCATCACCCAGATCAAGATATCAAACATTCTCACTAGTTCTTTCTCCCTTTACCTATTTCACCCATCTCCCTACCCTGACAGAGAACTTATTTTAAAAACATATAATATCATCATCATGCCTAAACAAATTTAACAATAATTTCTT